GGGTGGGGGAGCAGGTTCCTTTGGCTGGGTGCGCTGCACATGTGCAGGAAATAAGATAATTACATCTTTCACTGAGTGTTCCTGAATATCTTGGCACCGCTATCAACATCCAGACTGAAGTTTTGATTGTTTTCAAAACGGTGATATTTAAAGAGTCCTTAAACTTAAACTGCCAACCTAGCAGTTCGAAAGCAAGAAATTGCAAGTAGATAAATAGGTACATGGAGCTGCGGTGGCTCAAGTGGTTAAGACGCTGAACTGCAGGCTGTGGAAGGTCAGTAGTTCAGTAGTTCAAGACCCAGGGTGCCACATGACGGAGTGAGCTCCCGTCTCTAGTTCTAGCTCTTGTCAACCTAGCAGTTCGAAAGCAAGAAATTGCAAGTAGATAAATAGGTACCACTTCGGTGGGAAGGTAACAGCGTTCCGTGCGCCTCGGTGTTTAGTCATGCCGGCCACGTGACCACGGAAACGTCTTCGGACAGCGCTGGCTCTTCGGCTTTGAAACGGAGATGAGCACTGCAACCCTAGAGTCGGACTCAACTGGCTTTCGAGCAAGGGAACCTTTACCTTTTACCTTTAAATAGGTACCACTTCGGTGGGAAGGTAACAGCGTCCCGTGCGCCTTGGGGCACCGCAACCCTAGAGTCGGATTCGACTGGCTTTCGAGCAAGGGAACCTTTACCTTTAAACTTAAACTTCCCTGACCTGGATGGTCCGTACTAGCCCAATCTCATCAGTTTTTGGAAGCTAAGTAAGGCTGGCCCTGGTTAGTATTTGGGTGAGAGACCAGACCACCAAGGAAGCTCAAGATCACTACTGTGCCAGCCTCCAGGTGGGACCTGGGGAACTGCCGGAGTTACAGCTGAGCTCTAAACTACAGAGATCAGTTCCCTTGGAGAAAATGGATGCTCTGAAGGAGGGTTGCCAGCCTCCAGGTGGGGCCTGGGGATCTCCTGCTTTTACAGCTGATCTCCAGCTTACAGAGATCCGCTCCCCTGGAGAAAATGGCTGCTTTGAAGGGGGGACTCTATGGCATTGTACCATGCTGAAGTCCCTCCCCTCCCCAAACCCCGCCCTCTCCTGGCTCCACCCCCAAAGTCTCCAGTTATTTTCCAACCCAGACCTGGCAACTCTACTCTGAAGGGTGGACTCTATGGCATTGTACCCCACTGAGGTCCTTGCTTCCCCGGGCTTCATCCCTAAATCTCCAGGCATTTCCCAGCCTGGACCTGGGAACCCTACACTGTGCAGTGGCCGGCAATGGCAAACCACCTCTGAATGTCCCTTGCCTTGAAAACTCTATAGTGTTGTTGTTATAAGTTGTCTGCAACTTGACAGAATTTTCCACCACTAAAGCCAGTTTGGTGTCGTGGTTAAGTGCACGGACTCTAATCTGGGAGAACCAGGTTTGATTTCCCCACTCCTCCACTTGCACCTGCTGGATGACCTTGGGCAAGCCGTAGTTCTGATAAGAGCTGTCCTTGAAAAAGAGCAGTTTCTGTCAGAGCTCTCTCAGCCCCACCTACCTCCCAGGGTGCCTGTTGTGGGGAAGGGAAGGGAAAGGAGTTTGTAAGCCGCTCTGAGACTCCCTTGGGTAGTGAAGGGCGGGGCATAAATCCAATCTCTTCTTATTCTTATTCTTAACTTAACCTCTCTACTACTTTGGTATGAATCGTTGCCCCCAAGAGCAAATTCAACATGGAGCGCAAAAGTATCTGGATGGGTAATTGCCTCTTTCTAGGAACTTTAATTGCCAGTCAGAGAAGAAAAGGTTGATCTAGAGAGACCAACAATACATTCTAGTCCGAGGCAATTTCTTGTGTACCTAGACAACACTTCCTGTTTAAAATTAAAAGTATAAAGAGAGCCATTTTGGGGTAGTAGTTAAGTGCGTGGATTCTAATCTGGGAGAACCAGGTTTGATACCGTACTCCTCCACTCGCAGCTGCTGGATGACCTTGGGCAAGCCATAGTTTTGACAAG